CCGAAAAGGTGAGAAAAGCGAGCGAAGGGGAGCTGGGCAGATAACGCAAAGATTTCGCAATGCTGGGAGGGGAGGGGCCGGGGCCAAGCCAAGATAACGCAAAGATTTCGCTTTGCTGGGAGGGGAGGGGGCGGGGGGGAGCAAAGATAACGCAAAAAAAACGCAAAAAAAACGCAACCAAAACGCAACCAAAACGCAACCAAAACGCAACCATAACGCAATAATTTCGCAATTTTCGCCAAAACGCAAGGATAACGCAAAAAAAACGCAACCATAACGCAACCATAACGCAATGTTTCGGGGGGGAGGGGCCGGGGCTGGGGGAGGTCGGGGGGGCTGGCGTGGGGCTGGGGGCCGGGCTTGGGGGGGGCCTGGAGGGGGGCTGGGGGGGGCCTGGGGGGGGGGGGGGGCCTGGGGGCTGGGGGGGCCTGGGGGGGCCTGGGTTGGCCTGGGCTGGGGGGGCCTGCGGGGTGTTGGGGGGGCGTTGGGGGGGGTTGGAAAGGAGCCCACCGACCGGAGTGGGGGGGGTTGGGTCGGTTGCGGCTGGTTGGAGGGGCAACAAATTCACGCTTGCAGACCTGCAAATCAAGAACCAAAGCCAGAAAAGCTATGTCTGAGTCTCACAGTCTTAAAATATTATTCAAATCGTGCAATACTAGCTGCAGTAGCTGCTAGCTCACTAGCTGTCAGTGGCTCACTACCAGAAAATCAGTACCAGTAAGCAGTTCTGCAGCTGTAAGTAGTGTCATTCGTTCACCCTGATTTGGGAGGCACCGCAACAGTGGCAAGTGCAAAGCTCAAAGATCCGTCAAGAGCTGGGAGTGGGCCAGAGCACACAGCTCTGGACATGTCACCCTGACTTGAAACTGGCTGGCGTTCCTGAGAATGCCAGGGTCAAAGAAGTACTAGACCTTGCAGTATATGGGTACCTGGGCAGTGATTTGGCATGTCAGTTGCTTGCAGGGCGTCAGGCAGCTGATGCTGAGGCTTTGAAGTCCATGTGCAGCGAGTTGTTCACAGACATTTCACAAAATCCTTATCGGAAGACCTTCACTCGCAAGAACGGCCATGCTCCATGCATGACCACTGCGACATCTTTCTACTGCCATAGCAGGGATCGAATGGTCCTTCCAGTGGAGATGCTTTATTTTCAAGGTCATGACCTTCGGATGAAGATCCCGAGCCAGATGCCCAGAAGTTCCCTCCAAAGCCTGGCAGGTCAAGGAATTTGCTTGCCAGTCCTGGCAACTTTGGTGTTCTGCTTGCAGAACACAGACAGTTTGCCTGTGTAGCAGTGTAGCAGCCTAGCAGGACAGCAGTCTAGGCAGTGTAGAGGCAATGCCAGCTTGAGCTGAAGCTGCAGTGGCTGCAGCTTCCGTGTGCAGTCTCAGATCTACAGTGTTGCCTTTGCCATGCAGCCGGTTGGCCTGCTGCTGGAAGGTTGTTTAGAGAATATTTCATGTTGTGTGGGCACAGACAGAGACACAGTAGGATTCTGCCCAACCGGCATTCCAGGAGTCGAGGTCTAAAGGACTAGAGTTGACCAGAGGCTGTTTGTACACCTAATGCTGCAGACTGGAGGCCGTCTTGCCTGGGTCCTCGATCAATGATATGAAGCAGAGTGTCAAATTAGCAACCAACAGAACGTGCTCTGGTATTCCTAGATTCTAGATTCTAGCCCATACTTGCTTGCCAGTGCTAGACCCTAGCCGCCCTAGCCAGCTGCCAGGGTGTATCATCGGTAGCCGGTAGCAGTGGCACACATTGACATGGATACCTTCCAGTACAGAAAGCCGGTTGCTGGTGATGCAGAAAAATGAGAACCCTTGTTTTTTTAGCGAAGAAACGATGCGGCAGCCCTTTGGGTGGCTCCGTGCTTGAGGGTGCCACCTGGTGGCTCAGGAACAGCATTCGGTGAGGCCAGCCCAATGTCCAGCTTTTGCATCAGACATACCGGGGTATTAGCATTAGCCAGTAGTCACTAGTCAGTACTAGACTTGCCGATGGGCTGGTTTGCTCACATAGAATGTCTTGTTGCTCGGTGGTCTTTGTTGCTTACCTTGTGGCAGCCTTCTTGCCAGTGCTTGTCTCTGGAGCTGTAGGCCACTGTAGGCCACTTTAAAACCTTAGGACTTTAGGCCTTCAGGCCCTCTTCTAGGACTCTAGGCCCTTTATACTTTATAGCCAAGGCCCAGGCTTGAAGCTTTTCCTTACACTTTACTCCCGGCCCTTCCCTTTGGACGCTTAAGCCTCGCAAGCCTTAGGGAGCCGTTTGTGTCGTTTCTACCAGTGCTGTACCGCTAGGTTAGTAGTGAGTAGTGGTTAGGCCCTGGTTAGGCGTTCATTATGGCCATAGAATCATAGAACTTAGGTCTTGCAACATTTCCAACGATGGCCTCGTGCTGCAACTTTGTTGTTTGATGGCCCGAGTCAACTTCGCACACCAGTGGCACAAAAAACTTCGGATCGTTTCCTTCCCCGGACCATTGACAGAGCTAGCAGCTAATTGAGTTGCGAAAAGGTATACTTGCCGTACCAAGCATGTCTGAGATATTGTGCATCGCTCCTAATTGTATGAGGCCCTAAGACTCTAAGACTATAAGGTACTTCCATGTGCAGTCTACCCAGGGACTCCAAAACCGCTTGATTAAAAACCCATAATTAAAGAATATACCTTAAATTATCACCGGATCCCTCACAGGACTTAAGGCATATTCCTTCATTGAAGCGGTTTTCCAGTCCCTGGGTACAGCTGTTTCTGTTGTGGCCGAGATCCAGAGCAATCCAACAATGTGCTACAAGACCACACTTTTCTAGAAATTTGTTGGTGCAGTGCCAGCAGTTATATGCACTCAGAGTTTCCCACTTCCATGTTGCAGCATGTATATTTACATGGAGACCCTAAGTCCCGGCCCTCTGTGAAACTTCCCTATTCTGCACCAACTGCTCGGCTAGTACCAAGACTAGACTAGACGCTGTGTCAGATTGCTGGGCTGAGCAGCTTATAGCAGCTACCTCACCTGACAGTCTCTGATCACGGGCTCCATAGATCCACACCCGCAATACCCATGGTCCTATGTGGTGAGACACCTGTATTTCACTGGATGCTCTATTAGACTCATGGTGGTGAGAGACCCGAGAGCTAGCTCGTAATGGCTAGAGTAGTACCCCTCTCCATGTGCCAGAATCAGATGTGCCCGTGGGTCGGATTCTGTCGAGTTTTTTTTGGATTCAATGTACGAGTTCCAGCATTGAAGCAGCAGCAAGCGAGGTATGGCATGGCCAGTTTGTCGAAATGGGTTTGTGTGGAGTCCTAGGTCCTAGGTCCTACGGTTGATGATATAAATCCTGCATTACCCATAGTGAGGAATATGCCATTATTCCCAAAGTCTAGTGTCATTAAGGTAATGCAGGATTTACATCATCCACCGTAGGTCCCAGGTCCCAGAGTCCCTAGAGTCCTAGAGTGAGCCCTAGAGTACCCTAGAGGCCCCTAGAGTCCCTAGAGCCCTAGAGTCCTTAGAGTGTTGAATCATTCGGTCGGTGACATGCCACTGGCCTTTGCCATAGTATATAGGCCGCCCATCCGCTAATTACGTGCAAGGCATTCGTCAACTTGTGGACTAGGTGACTGGCCGGCGACAGACACGCACAGAAAGTCTTGATATTCAGAAGTTGTCGTGCTTCGCAGGCTTGCAAAATTCGTGTAAATTTTGGGAGGTTTCTGAGAATGTGCAATTCCTATATCTTCGTCGGTAGCATCCGGTAGGTCCACTTATACGTGGCGGCAGATTTCCAGATTTGCCATCGGAATCAAGGGACGATCAAGCCGCATCAAGCAAGCCGGTTGAGTCGGTTGAGTGTGCCAGGAGGGAGTGCAGTGCTGCTTCCACTTCTCCAACCATTAGCTGTAGCTGTTAGTGGCTGTCACTGTAGCTGCAGCTCAACTCTTGCTCTCGTTGCTGCTTATTGCTCAGGTTCGTACAGTGTCCAGCTTGCAGTTGTGTCAGTGCCGGGTCGGCTTCCGTGCGGCCTCTGTCCTAGGACCTAGGAGGCATGGCGGCTCGCAGGAGTGTCGCCCTGCTGCAAGCAATGCCGATGTCATGCGTGTAACAGTGCAACAGTGTAGCGTTGTAACTGTAGTGATGACTTAGTAGTTTAGTAGTGACATTGTAGTGACTGTAGTGAAGTCATGTAGTACTGTAGTACCGTACATGTAGCGGTAGCGGCAGCAGGTAGCGACTGCACTGTATAGTGTAGTAGTAGTAGTAGTAGTAGTAGTAGTAGTAGTAGTAGTAGTAGTAGTAGTAGTAGTAGTAGTACTAGTAGTGCAGTGTAGTGTAATGTGCCAGACATGACAGTTGTTGCTTTGCTTTCGTCACTGTTTCTGCTCGCTGGTATTGTTCAGTGCTCAGAGTCGCCAATGTTCATTTGGGCAACATTCCTGTGGACTTTAAACAACTCTATACTTTACAAATGAGAGATCGATTCTACTCGAGTCCAGTGTTCGGAGCCTGGGCTTGCAGCTTGTGGTTCTTGTATAGTTTGTGAACTGAATATTTGTGCTGGGAGCACAGAAAGGCAGTCAATGTCCCATGTCCCATGTTGCAGACTCGTGGCTGTTAGGACGGACGTCAGGAGGTTGAAGGTTTCAGGCTTTGTTGCAATTCGGCTGCTAGGAGAGGATTGGTTGCGGGCATTAGCGCGAGGCATTAGGCACAGAGTCAGGGAGGCAAGAACCCCAAATTCTTGGTGGAACATTGTAGATTGTCAATTGTAAATGCTACAGTTTAGGAAGGGCTTCTGATTCTGGCAAACCGCCTTTCTGTAGTCCAGAGAGAGCTGTTCACACACAAATCAGTTTAGTATAGTATAGTCATTAGTCATGATGATCCGAATTGCGCAAGTTTTGAGGTTCCAGGCCAGTTACAGTTACAATGACAAGCAAGGAAGCAGGACTAGACTATAGACTCTCACACTGCGCGGATTCCGAGGCATTGATGAAACGAGAGGAGCGGGACGAGGCCCCAGCCCCGAAAGCAGCACCGCCGACAAAGCGGATCAAGACCAAGAAGGAGTTTCCTGTCGTCATCTGCGTCTTCAGGGGAGAATCGTCCAAGGACCCATCCGGAAGTGTGCATGCATGTCTCTGTGTGCCTATGTGTGTATGCGATGGCTGATTGCAATGGTCGAATGTGAGTTGTTATGTGATGTTCAGTGGTGTCAGCTCGGCCGGCACAGGGAAACGAGGCTGGTGTAGCTCAGGACTGAGGCAGGCACCCACCCCGCTCCAGATCGAAGTGTAGAGGACTTGTCAGTTAGGAGAAGTCTTAGTCACTTACTAGAAACTATGATAGCTGGATAGCTCTATCGACCTTATCGTGTGCTAAATCTGCTAAATCACTAACTGAATCACTGGTGCTGTCACGAACAGAACCCACATTCGTGAGGCTCGACGTTTCGGGCCATGTGTGTGAGCCGATTTAAATGATGCGGCAGGACAAGCGCTTCGCTGAGGTTGAGCAGTCTGGAAAAATCCTGGTGCCTGCTTGCTGGGATTGTGCAGACTGCGCCCTGAAGCTGAGACCTGGCGTTCCCCTGAACATCTTGTGCGAGTGGTATGTAGCCGGACCTGCATGCATCCAGGACCCTGGATTCAAAGCCGAATTTGATGGGGCGATCAAGGTGTGGCACGCATTGTCGATGGCCGAGGCGACAAAGCCTCGATTCTCTCCTGAGGCTTCGGTGTTGAGCCGCCAGGTTTATGGAATGCGGATTGTTCAGGAATTCGGCTTGCTGACGGAGAATGAATACATTCAGGTGATCGGCAATTCGCCGAGTGTGTTGCCGAAGAACAAGGCCTTGAGACCGGTCTCCCTGCCGTTCTTCTCCCCGAACAGCAACACTAACTTCTATGTCATCGACCTACTTGGTGCCGACCCGCAGGTCCTGAGTGGGATGAGAAGGGCTGAGATCTACTATGACACGAGCAGCGAGTTGGCCGAGGCGGTCTTGCAAGGGGCCCAGCAGCTCTCGGAGAACCAGGGACACAAGGTTTTCGACTACTTGGCTGCCGGCATGACCGAACGTCGCCCAGCTCCTTTGAAGGGATCCGCGAAAGCCCGCCCGAAGAACATCCAGCAACTCCTCAGCGAGCACGACCTTCAGGAGGCCCAGGTCGAGGTACCGGCAGTAGAGGTTGTTGAGAACGACGAGGAGGAGGAGGACACAGGGGCAGCTGCTGCTGCTGGGAGCTCCACCGATGAGCCGAGTCGCATTGCTGGCTTCAACTTGCCCCAGCAAGCCCGGACAGCCTGCAAGAAGCGAGCCAAGCCTGCAACGCCATCTGCTCCCTCAAGCGCAGCCGCTACGACGAGCTCAAGCCCGGTGCCGGTGCCGGCACCGAAAGCCAGACCCGAGACGCAACGTGATCCTGCTGGTGGTGACGGTCGCAGTGAATCTACTGTGAAGAACTGCAGGAACTCCAAAGCCGACAAAGAAGGAGTCTACCAGAAGCTGGACCCGGGCATGAAACGGGTTGCGGACAAGTACTTGGAACTCATTCCAAATGCCAGTGTGCGAAGCTTGGAACACCTCGTGCCACAGAGCTTCCTCTTGAACCCCTCAAAGCAGACGTCAAACTCCCTCACCGGAGTCCGGCTCTGAGTTGAATCATAAGCCTAATGATTGCCTCATGACCTAAGGAGCTGTTGTCAACTTAGTCAACTTGTTTTTGTGTATTGTACTCTAGGCTGCTGCTACTTTACTATTACTACACACTCTACCAGACTCCACCTGCTTCAGAAAGGCTTGGCGAGCCACGACTTGTGTGGTGAGTGTGCAGTAGCTGTAGCTGTAGCTTTTGTTCGAAGTAGGTAGATCTATCTGCTAAGATCAGCAGATTCAATATTTCACAAGCTTGTAGGGGGCTAGTGACCAAGGCTTAGATAGAGCATAGGGGTTACGGGTTATTTCTTTACTTGAGGTGAGGTTCAGCCTTATAATAGTCGTGGCCCGAGGTTTAGTGTTAAGGCTATGGGCTTGAGGGCAGCATAGGCTGTGCCGGGGTTGGGACCTGTTGAGTTAACCGGGTTTTGTTTGTGCGAGGGCAACGGCAACGGAGACTGTTCTGGGAATTGGAGTTGTTCGGTTAACCGGGTTGTGCCAGTGTGTCTGCAGATGAGGCCAAGCGGATCCTGGATGGCCTGCAGAAGGGCAAAAGTCTCACTGCGGCTGAGGCTTTGGAGGAACGCCTCCTCCAGTGTGAGCATGCGGCCGCACTCGGAGGTGGAATGCTTGTTATGCAGTGCAAATTCAGTGACCTGAGAGGACATTTGTTCCGAACCCAGGACCTCTGGCACTCATTTCCTTTTCTTCTTCAAGTCCGCGTGTCTCTGCGGTTTGGTGTGGAGTCCATGAAGGATTGCTGTGAGCACTACTGGAAGCTGTTCGTTGGCAAGCAGGATAAAAAAAAGACGAAGGTGGAGATCACCGAGGGTGATGGTGATGGCCCGGACAAGTGCTCGGCCTCCGCAGCAAACAAGGGCAGCAAGGACTCGGCATCGGCAGCCACTTGGAAGGGGCAGGTTGAAGCCTGCCTTGGATTGCTTCGGTTCGACAAGGAGCTCCTGAATCATCGCATGTTCCAGTTCCAGTTCGATGGCAACAAGCCCCAGCTGCATGACACCATCGGCCTCATGATGCATGCGCTGAGCGAGAGCACCATGGACCTGGAAGCCGAGCTGGAGCTTGACCTTGCTGAGGATGTGAAGGACGGCCAGGGTGACGAGGACGACACGAAGCAGGACGGCGGGAAGAAGATGACTGCTCTTCAAGGTGTTCGAGCAGCTGTGGAGGCCGGGCTTGTTGCGCTTGAGCTTTTGTTACTTGACTTAGCAGATGCTAAGGACTTCTATTTTTCCAAGATTCCAAGAATGCCCAGCTTTCAGTTTTAAGTTGTGAAGGCTTCAAGGACCCCAGTGTTCTCGTTAAGATTCGTCTTTGTGCAGGTGCCAGTTTCTTGAAAAATGTCACTGCTATGTGGCATGCTAGAAGCATGTCCTCAGATGAGTCAGTCATGAACCCGTGATGCTCAAGATGTTTCAGTGATCACTGGAAACTAGATTGTGCATGAGATCCAACTGCTCCTAGCCTTAGTTCAGTTCCACTTGTGAACATGTGCTCGGCATCAGGTTGTGTTGCTCTACAGTCTACAGTCTACAGGCTCTACATCACTAGCATTAGAGTCCACACTCCGCATACTGACATACGACAATCTACATCCCATGTTGTCTGTAACAGCTGTATAGGACTTGTAGTAATTAGTAATAGCTCCTGATATGATTCCAGTCCTCTGTCTGCTTATTGAATTGAGCTTGTTGATAATGGCTTGAGGCTTGATGGCTGAAAAGGGCTTTAGTTTCTACGGTTTAGGGCCAGGGCCGGGCCCTTGCTCAAGGGCAGCTTAGGCTGGCTGACGATTCGGGTTTCTTCAGGTTGTGGGGTAAGGCTGAAAGCTAAGGCTGCGGCTAAGGCTAAGGCTAAGGACTTCAGTGTTTAAGGTTGCGTATAGTTTCAGTGTCTGCAGGACGCGGAGTCCGGCATCATGGAAGTCTTCATGGTGGAAGAGTTGATCAACATCTTTCGTGCAGGCGACAGCCACCATGAGTTCACGACCTTCTTTGCTGCCAAGTTCGTGACCATGATGATGGAGCAGGGTGCTGTCTTGGAGCAGATGAAAAAGTCGGAGTTTGCACCGATTGAAGCAGCAGTGCGAAAGGTGGAGCGATTCATGAGGGCCCTCTTGTACATCTTCGACCAGAAGGTCCCAGCTGAGGATGGCAGCGGCAACATGGTGGATGCAGCAACGGCTGCCGACGTCTTCGCATTCACGGAGGCACGGACCTCCGATGTGTATGGGGCAGCCATGCAAAAGGTCCTCGTCAAGACCGGGTCGTGGTATGCCGCACAAACCGATGAGATCGCAAGGACAGCTGCCACCAGGAAGATCGTCGCACCCAAGCTCGAGGCCCTTCAGGCGCTGCTGGAGGAGTCGTTTTCGACAGGACCTGCGGCCTTCCCCACGTCCAAGCTGCAGGAGGTCGTGGTTCTGCATGCAGAGGTGCCCCTTGTTTTTCTGGAAGTTGAGAACTGAGTGTATTTAGGAATTTAGGACGTAGGACTTAAGTTATTTGGGAATTGGGACACTATAAACTATAAAGCAACGGACCATGATGGAGGTTTTGGAATTTGCAACAGTTTGATGCCAGCATTGGGTTTCGATGTTTCGACTAAAGGACTTTCTGACAGTATTGACCGGCAACAGCATTCAGCCTCAGAATTGCCGAGCAATTTTTTCTGGCCCAGGAATGAAATTGACAATGGAAAAGTCTGATGCTCAAGATTCTTAAGTCGTCGCAACCGATATGTCAGTTGTGTCCTTGCAGCAACAGCCAACCTGAGAGACGGAGTGTTCTGTGAGCCGTGTATTGACTTGTGTTGGCCTTGACCGTGCAGGTGCGAGGTGGTCTGCGTGCTTTGGAGATGCAGGCCATGATTGAGAAGATGGAGAAGTTGGTGCGGAACTGTGCCGAGTACATGATGTCCCAAGCTTCTTTGCAAAGCCTGGAAACGGCCAGGGTGGAGGCCTTGCTGGCCCTCTTGGACAAGCTGTCAGATGTGGCAGGCATCCCGTCTTTGTTGCAGAGTTTCCAAGAGTGGGCTGCAAAGACACGCTCTGCCCGCAACTCCCACGATCTCATCGATCTCATGAAGGCAGCAACCCGAGAGAAGATTGATGTCGATGCCATCAAGCGACTTCTGCCGGCAGAGGGCAGTGTGATTGAGGGGCCCGGCACAGAGGACTTGGTTTCAGCGGCTTCGAATTGTGTCCACAAGCTGTGCCTTCTTTGTGTGGACAAGGCTGGAAGGGGGGTGCGGGCCGATGCTAACTTGCTGAGCTGTTAAGCCTTATGCCATAACGGCCACAATCGGCCACAACCAGCCATGTGCAAATCCTGTAAAAAGTTCTTGCCCACGATGCTGCAACTATGTCGTGTTTTCACAAACAGCTGATACCATTCCTCTAGACTCTAGACTCTAGACACGGCCAGGGCAAGCCTGACCTGGTGTTGTTGTCTTGACATGGAGCTGAAATCCAAACACTTGAGGTGATGTTGGTGCTGCCACCAGGGTATATCAGGATCTCTTGTTCGGACGTGTGAGTGATTTGCACATTGTTTAAACTAGTCTAAATGCGATTTTGGATTGACTATGTTACTATGATGTCGAGCCCCACGTGTAATCACAAAAGAGAGCCGCATTGTGGGATCAATGGTCTAGAGTCTAGGATGGCTTTTGTCCAGAAGAAAGCCTGTGTTCAGTAGTCTATTTGTGTGCTTCTTGTAGTGTTGTGTTTGCAATGGTGGCAGGTGTGGTGAAGTCTTATTTACAATGAGTGAGTCAATCAACAAGTTTGTGCGAGTTTGTGTTGTACCGTTGGTAAATCTGAAGTTTTAGGTAATGATGGCTAATATAGCTACACAGCCCGCGATCTAGACTTACAGTGCGTTGAATCTTTAAACTCAAACCGACATAGGTCTACCGAGTCTACCGGTGTGCCTATTCTGTCTACCAAGTCTACGCATGTGTGGAATGAATCATAAGATATGGTGCACAGGTGCTGTCTCCATGTGATGAGAAGGACCGCCTGGTTGCTGACATCAGAAAGGAGCTGCTGCTCATCATCGGTGTTGCCAAGAAGCTTTTTGGCAGCCCCCCCGGGGATGACAGTGAGAAGGCTGCCTTCAATGACTCCTTTCGCAGCCTCATCATGAGCTACTCTCACTACTTGCAGGCCGGGTTCCAGCAGCTGGAGAGACTGCGACACTTCAAGGGGCTGGGTAATGATGCGGAGACTCGCATGGGCCACAAAAACTCCCCTCAGCTCCTCTCAAGCTTGAAGCACGGTGCCGACAAAGTGGCTGCAGAGATGGCCAAGATCAGAAGCACACAGAAGACACTCCAGAGCGATGATTCTGATTCGCAGCGAGAATCAACAATCAAGAATGATGAGGCGGTGATGGCCATGGTGGACTTGTTCGTGGAAGATGTGTTCTACCTTGCAGAGAGCCACATGTACCAGGATTGCGTGGCCTGGCTTGGCGCATCCCTCCAGCGTGATCTTCAGACGAAGGCCGATGACATGGTTCGTGTTGCTGCTGGCTTCCAGTCGGGCGGTGAGCACGATTGGAAGGCTTCTTTGGGTGATGGAGCCTCGCTGGACGACATCTTCACGAGCTGCAAGAGTCTGTTGGACAGTGTTGACATCAGGAAGCTTCGCCAGGCAGGGGAAGACTGTGGGGCGGCTCCCCGGACTGACTTATTGTTCCCAATCGACGTGACAAACTGGGGTGTAAGTGACTACAGTGACTACAGTGACTACAGTGACTACAGATCTCTACTCGACTAGTGTTGTTTAGAAGTTTGTACTTCTAAAGTTTCTAATGACTGACTAATGATGGCTAATGAACAGGTTCCAGTTCAACATTTTAGCAGTCTAGATGCCCTGTACCATTGCACCACACTAGCCTTCTATAGCCACATGTGATAATGTGTTGTGTATGAGGCATGATGAAGTGAAGATTTCCAGTGCCTTTTGAGGTGCCATGTTGTGTGGGGCATTGTCCACCCTTCATTCTTCATCGACGTCTGTTTACTTGTTGATAAGTTTGTGACACGTCGTACCTTATTCATGTTAACTGTCAGTACACTTAATAAGAACAGTCCTAGGTCCTAGGTCTGTGTCATACTTGGGTTTTGTCTTGTTTGGGTGCCAATGAAAGCCGGCCGTGTGCCCCAGTCCGGCCTGACATAGACGGGCGAAGCATCCGTGTAGTTTGAAATTGAATCAGAGCATCAGCTATCGCCCAGGTTCTGAAAGCCATCAAGGACCACATGGATATGTATGACAGCTCAGAGTTGACAACCATCCAGATGAGTATGCTGGCCTTGAAAGAGTTGCGGGATGACTTGTTGGCAAACGGCATCCGCCAAGGGCGCACTTTGGGAGCGGAGATGCTGTTGCTCCACCAGATCAGGAAGATCCACGCCTTGCCGGTGCACGAGCGGAGCGACCCGATTTCTGATTTGAGCAAGCTTGTGACAAAGTTAAGCGTGTTCTTCACGGAGAACATTTTTCAAATCGAAGCCGGCGCAGTTCAGAGAGCCTTGTGGACGGAGTCCCAAAAGTTTGTCGTCTGACTTCGAGAGTGCTGCTAGAATGCTGGGCTGGACCAGCCGCCTGGAAGCCGACTGATTGAGTTGCGAGGCTGCTGCTAGCCACGGCAAACCAGCAACAAACCGAATCCGCCTCGACGTGCTCTGCTAGCCCAGCTAACAGCTATAGCATGTGTCTTCACATGAAAGTGAATATGATAAATGTTCCTGCCGGTCCTCACGGCTCTTACCTCTATGACTCTATGACTCTATGACTCCATGACATGACTCTATGACTATGACTCTATGCCTCTATGCCATCTATGCCTGTGGTTTTATGCTCGCTCTACTGTGTATGTTCTTTCGTGCCCTTTATACTGTGTATAGTGTATATGTGTGTCAGTGTATCAGTATATGACTCGTGTGAGTCCAACACAAGTAGCAAAACTAGATAAACTGGATGTGCAAGCAGGCAGTTTGCATGTCGAGCATGCTGGATTCCGTGGGCATTTCTGCCAGTCCTGCCGTAGCCTGCCGCGAAGCAGCAGAGCTGCCAAGCCCTTCAATCGATTAGAATAGCCCTGGAGCCAATGTTTCAGTTTCAGAGTTTCAGATGTCGTGATTTCAAGTTTCGCACAAACCCCAATGGGATTGATCACTGATGGAGTGAGTGGCTCCAGTCCTCTATGAAATTTTCGGGCGCATTTTGCAGGACTGCAAGACCGGAACGTGCCCAGCC